TGATCACCATCAACAGCACCGGCGTCGGCGGTCGTCTCCGAGACGCGCCTCGTCAGCGGTCTGCTGAACCTGATCGCCGACTTTCTGCACAACTTCACCGACGGTCTGGCCATTGGGGCGACCTTTGCCGCCGGGAAGAGCATGGGCACCATCACCGCGGTGACCATCTTCATGCACGAGATTCCCCACGAGATCGGCGACTATGCGATACTGATTCAGGCGGGCTACAAGCGCAGCAGCGCCATTGGCCTGCAGCTGGTGACGGCCATTGGGGCGCTGATCGGCACCGCCGTCGGCCTCTACTACGGCGAGCTGGAGCACGCCACGCAGCTGATTCTGCCGGTGACGGCGGGCGGCTTCATCTACATCGCCACCGTGTCGATGATTCCCGAGCTGCTGGAGAAGACGAGCAGCACCGTGCAGACGCTGCTGGAGATTGTCGCCATGATGGCCGGCCTGGGCATGATGTACTGGATCGCACTCAACGAGTGAGAATGGGGAATGGGTGAACCACTGATTCTCTGGAATTCTACAACAAAACAAAATCATGAGAATGTGTGGCTGAGGAAGTGTGTGCTTGTGTGAGAATCACAAACACACACTGTTTCAGCTGCCACCATCACCACCACTGCAGCATAAACAAACTCTCTTTCTCGCTCGATGTCACTTGTTGTTTGCTGTACCACCAATTCTATTTACATTACACAAACGGCTCTGTCTCTCGCCCTTCCGAGTAATCTCTGCCTCGCGACGATATTACACTCGTTCAGTCAGAGTGAGCATGTGTCACTTCCACCACCACCAGCAGCAGTGTGTAATGTACGACACTGCAATCACCATCTTCTCAAGACAGCACTGACTTGATTGAATCATCATCATCATCATCGAGCACACTCACTACCTTTTTCCCTCTTTATTAGCGCTGGTGTCAGCAAAGAGTGGGGGCAAAGAAGAAGAAGAAGAAGACTATTGAGGAGAAGACGGCTTCAAGGGCCATCATCATCATCATCGTCGGCAAGTAGAGCGCGCACAATTATGCTGAGTGACGGTGGTGAAAGAAAGAAAAGAGGAGACAGAGACCTCTTTTTGCTGAGAACTGAATGCGTCATGTTGTGTGTGCCCGCTAATCA